ACATATGAAGGGGACTCCTCTTATAGGTGGCTGAAACTGCACGCCCCCCAGTTGCTGTTTTGCTCTTCCCAGCCATCTGCTACATTCCTTTTTTAAAGACATGCTAAATCAAATATTCTACTCATCAGGATGATCCAGAATTCACAGTCACTTTTTCAGTACCTAGAAAAGGCTGAGTGGTCTTGTTTCATAGTTCACTAAGAAATGTTGTCAGTGTATTGCTCATCATATTTAAACATGCACTCTGTGCACTCTTCTTTCCCTTTCCTCTCCCCTTTCCTGGGAGTTATACTACTAAGCTGCATGTTTCCCGTGATGCGCCTATGCGTGCAGATCTCAGTTTTTCTTGTTAGGGCTCTAAAATTCAGTTTCAAAATGGTTCCCTTTGAGTTCATGCCATACTTTCCAGAGGTCTAACTACACCCACCAAGGGCTTGTGGGAATTCAGAAGAGAAGAGGGAGAAGAAGTAGGGCTGGGAGGATGCCCCAAGGAACAGAAGAAGAGGTGTTCAGAACCAGAAGGGCTAGAGGAAACTCCCAGCCCATCCTGCCAAAGCCCAGACTCTGAAGAGCCTCCCAAATGTCAATCACCCAAAGCAATGGGGAATAACTAAATCCATAGCCGGATGCATTATTCATGTATGTATTTTATATGCATGTGACTTTATGCATATACCTGTGATTTAACGTGCCAATCAGATACAGTAAAAACAAAATATCACCTCATCACTAATTCTTCAAAGATGCCAACTTCAGACAGACAAAGATACTAATTTTCTTTTTATCCAAGGATAGCAAAATATTTGCACAGACTGCTTTGCATATATATTAAGTAATAATGACTGCAGGAAGCTACTCTTCATTAAGAAGTCTTCTATGCAAAGAAAACAAAATGCACTTTTTAGAAAAAGGATTTGTCTTTTTCCTTTTTCAAGCTAGACATTGATAAGTATTACTTCCAAAGATAAATGGTCCTTAAATCAGATGACAGAGGAATACAAAAAGTTCTATTTCTTTAGAAAAGCAGTGTACAGCTATGTAAGACATCTGGCACCTATGCTGCCAATTCTAATCTTAAAAGTTTTATGTTCACGTAATAGTTCTGCTGTGTCAAAACTCTGTTGTCTCTACCTAGGGCTATTTAGTACACAAATTTGAACATAACGAAGGAAGTAACTTTATAGGGCTTGCAGCAGACTGCAGTGCTGTGAGTGGTACATTCCTGAAACTCTCCTATACCAGTGTAATGCCAAAAGAAAAGGCTGAGTGGTGATGTAATGTCTGAGGGCATGCCAGAGTTAAGACTGTGTTTGATTCACAGGGCATAAGTTATTTCTCTCCACTTTTTTTGAGGCAGGCAGTTTTACAGCTACAAGTGTTACAGAGTCCCACATTAACGCATAGGTAAGAAACAAAACAAAAAAACACACCACAATGAAATGATAGCATTTGTCACTGTGACACAGACAACAGCTATTGAGCAAGAAAAGCTTCTAGTCTATTTTTGTTCTGAGGGG